GGCAGTAGTGGGGCCACCCTGACCCGGTTACCAGCCACTGGCAGGGCAGCAAACAACCATCCGCGCTCACACTCATACCTAGGGACAATTTAAAGTTTCCAATCAGCCTGCTATGCATGTTTTTGGAATGTGGGAGGAAACCGGAGTACCCGGAGAAAACCCACGCAGGCACGGGGAGAACATGCAAACTCCACACAGGGAGGCCAGAGCCGGGATCGAACCCATGACCTCTGCAATGTGAGGTCGACGCGCTGTCGAACAATCCAAAACACTAAAATAACAAAGTCCCCCCCCCCAAAAAAATATATATATCAAAGTAACAAACAAACACGTGAGAAGAACTCACCACCACTGGGAAACCTGACTGCAAAAACAAAAACGAATCGGCAAAGACTGAACGAAACCAGCGAACTAAATACTAGCAAACTGACAAGACGACGAGGTACACCTGGACAAGACACGAGTGGTTGACTGGTGCTGATTGATAGACAGAAGGAACCGGGCTGACGAGGACAGGTGGAAACAAAAACGAGTGAGACAAGACATGAAGAGACAAAAAAAGAGACAGGGAAAACGTGACAACACGTGAAACAAAGCCAAATCGAGTCCAAACAAAGTCAACAAAAACACACATCACGACAGTGGATCATCCAGGTAAGCAGGTCATTGTTCAAGATGCTTTACTTTGAACGCTCCGCTTCATTCCCTTTGACAGCGACAAAAGTGCTTGTTTACTTTCGCGCTGCAAGAGTACGTGTCAGTAAACAAGAATGGATGTTTTCCGTATGTGCTTAGAGCAGCGATGGCATTTTCCACCAAGGTTGAATTTTCAGTTACGCGTGACCTTATTTGTCTGTCCGTGTCAAACTACTCAATGAAATTTCTGAACAAAAAGTCAAATACTCCCACACAGCTGTGCTTGAATGTTTTAAACAGTTGATCTCTAGAGAGCTATCGTAACCAGCTTTTTTTTCACCCCAACACAGGGCTGTTTCTTGATTCTCAAGTATAGAATATTGGCAAAGGTTGTGGAAAACATCTTATTTTTTTCCTCAAACATTCTGACCAATCACCAAACACCAATCGCAGCTGCAACTCAGCACGCTTAGGTTCACATCTGTGCCATAGCAACAGTTTGGTTAGTTGCCAGGCTGTTTGGGTTGCCAGGCAAAGGGTTCCCATGGCAACGCTCCTTTTGCCATCTTGGTATAAGAGCCTGGTTGGAAAAACAAAATCAGCATTGCAACATGTCACACTCTTGCTGTATTGTAAAGGGAGTGGAAGTGAGGACACGCCAATGTTTTGATTGTGAAAATGGGTACTTGCTGAAACGGGACCGAACATTCAGCTCAGCTTCCACAATCTCTATGTTCCATCGTTTAATCACCCCCACCAACTCAAAGCTTTAAAACAACGCACATCACACGATGTATTTCTTCTTTGTCTTTGAAGAACTATGGCCATCAGCTTATATAAAGAAAGGCGGGCCAACTTGTGTCAACGCCAGAGCATGATAATTAAGCGAAACCGTGAAGTTAAGCCTCATTAAACGATCACCTCTAAGACAATTTCCATAGCAATGCCTTTTGCCAGACAAGCCTGCTGCTACAAAGGGTGGAGGGAGCAGGAAGCGAGAGGAGGATAGCTGACACTGGCACAATTACGCCGCATTTCTGCGTGATTTGCCTGCGAACGTACGACACGGTGGGAAATAAGGTAGAGGCGGTGGGTGCTGCAGAAATTCTTGGCGCGGCTGGGGAAATGCTGACGGAGGGTGGCTAAAAGGGTAAGAGGCGGGCTGCAGGGACTTGTGAGTGTTGAGCGCTGGGGGTGGCGGAAGGGTCAGAGTAAGAATAGGATGAGGATGACAATCAAAAACAATAGGTGAAAGTCTTGTCAAAGTCAATCAGATTGTCTTTTTTTTTCCTCACGTTGTCTACTCGTAGCTGCAAAGTTCAACAGGAGGTCTAATGTGACAAATCTCTCTATTCGAATTGCTTCTTTGCTTTTTAACATTCTTTCCCACGCAGTAGTGCCGCACTCCTACACAGGCTGTCTTTTGCCAGCAGTGGCTTTACATTGGAATGGTGTCAACGTGAGACAGGATTCAGGGAACCCAAGATGGATGACGCTGCAGCAGCCATCAGTTTTGTTTTCTGCTTGATTGCATGAGATTGACAGGTCTTTGCGGCCATTAATTGCGGTCTGTCAAAACGCTGTCAACCCTTCACAACTGCTGTCGCAGACCTTCCCAAAGTAGTGCTTTTTGGTATCTAGAACAGTTGTGAGTTTCGGGGACATTGGTTGGCGCAATGCTACATTCTAGCAGCTACGACAGTGAAAAAAAAAACAAATGAGGCGACACAGTTTTGTGTTTGGTTTTGTTCAATTCGAGGGGTTCTGGAAATGTGACAGACCCGAGTGAAGATGGATAAAATTACAATTGTATTAAGTGGATGTTAAGGCTGAGAACATGCCAAAGAAGTTAATTCATTGAAGACGATAAAACTGATTAAATATCATGTCATGGCTCGCCCTACTGTAAAGTAAGAATTCCCCCCCCCCCAACCCCATTGACTTCAGCCACGATGACTGTGCAATCTCCAGCATTTGAAGGAATCCTTTTTTTTCCTCCAAAGGTTTGGATCATATTCCAGATTGTGCGACCTTGAGGTTCTTCAAATATTGAGGTACTGCTATCGTTCACCAAGTCCTTGTTGCCTGCTTTTTTTCAATGTGCAGTCTCGAGACACTAGAGTAACAGTGAGGCACTGTCTCCAGTAGAGGGCGTCGGATGCTTAGAAATACATGAGAATCCCATGAATGAACATGGAGTCAAACCTTCAGTAGTAGTCTGCTCACCGACGTGAGAGTTGTAAATACGCGGCTAATTCATTGTTGTTAAACTTCTCAGTCAATCCACTTGTGCCATTCAGGTTTTCCACTTAGTCATGTTATCCTGCGGCAAATGAAAGAATCAATTCTGCTGCTTACGTTTCTGTCGAGCTGGCATAGACATCTGAGAGCAAAGATGCTCCATACAAAATGGAAAAAAGAAGTGGTACAGTTCGAGCCTTCAAATAAATCAAATGTTTAACCTGCTTGCTACTTGCCGAGAAGGAAGCAAAGGAAGATTGTTTAGCGTTTCTACACTGAGATCGTGTCTGGGGAAGGGGCGGGAGGGGGTGCAGTCCGACCGTCTGTGCTCTGCAGCGTGAGGTAGTTGGTTGTATTGTTTCGCATAATAAACAGCACGGAGATAACTGTACAACCTTCTAGCTTTCCCTGCGGAGTCACTTCTTGCCACGTCTAATGTACCCCCGGCCGAGAGGTAAGTATGTTGTTACTCTGCGAGCCCATCGCCTTGTGGATAACGACGTGACTCATTCATTTCTAATGTTGCGTCTATTATCCCCTCCAGGCCTAATGGTAGCCGCTGCACAGCCATCAGGAAGATTTTATTATTATTCGTCAGCCTAGCAATGTGTCATACGGAACACCTTCTGGTTTGTGGCAGATTAGTCTTGAGGTCCCACTGCACTACAAACACTTTGGGGAGAACAACCTGAGCCCCCCACGGCCTAAAGCATGTCATGTACACACCAAGCATATATGTTGTACATGGCCTTGCGATTGATATTGTTGGTCCTAGGCAGTAAATTGCATGTGTGTCGTTCCCCCCCTATAACACAAAACGTAGAGTGGCCTTGTCAATGACTTTGGGCTTGCTTGCTGCCATGGTCGTAGACGTCTCGCCGCACAATCCTTTGCACCGTCTCCGGCAACCCTGCAGACTCTCCCGCTCGCTAATATATTCCGGGTTTCAACCCAATAACCTTACCTCCTCCTCCTCCTCCTCCTCCTCCTCCTCCTCCTCGGTTTGTCAGCTTGCGGCATGCGCCGACTGTAGTGCATTATAGCCGTCTCTCCTCCCACCTCCCAGAAAAGGGGCATCTATAAGAATAATGCTGATTCGGCACTGCCGGTCGTCTTTATCATCCCTGCAGCACGCCGCCCTCCTGCCAGTGGAGACGGATGAACACCTGACAGTCGTGAGGCGTGTGGGCCAAGGATAATGAGCATGGTGGAGAGACAGCAGCATCTCTAAACGTCTGGCTAGTTGTCCATTCGTCCCACATTTAACGTTATTTACATGTAATTTTTTATTCATGCGCTGCTCTCGTAGTTTGCGGCAAAGAGTCCAGTGCAAACCGACCTTAACTTGTGCTTCTCCTAAAGCGTCTGCAAGCGCTATTCTTGCTTTGTTCCCTGCGATAGCGGCTACGTTCTTGGGGGAGAAAATGAGTGCGTCCCGACCCTGAGACAAGACAAGGCAGACACCATCCCAGACTGATGATGTCATCCCTGTGGAGCACTCCCAATGCTTTGTCTCTTAGTGGCACTGCAGAGTACAGCCGCAGGCGTGCGCACACACTCGCAGACACGGATACACACCCACACCTGGCTGTCACTTTCTCGATGTGACCGGGAGTTATGCTCCGACCTCTGAGAACTGCCTTTGCACGAGGTTTCGGCACAAAATGGCTCCCGCGTTAGCCGCAGCCTTGCAAAGCCAGTGTGGCAGGACACGCACAAATGGCCGAGAGCGGGCAAACCCTGTTCACTCGGTTGTGCACGTTTAGCTTTGAGTATGGGAGTTAATGACATGTGTGCTGCCGCATTACAACATAGTGCATAGTACTTGGGTTTCTGTGCAAAGTGATGCCAGTCAGTCCTTTTGTCAGACTGAGGTGAGCAGACATTGTACCCAGACAGTCGCATCCCGGGGCAAATACAAGAAGACTGGAGCTGAACGTAGATGAACTCGCGCAGTATATATATGTAGGTCTCAAAACAAGAGGCTGCCTCATGAATATTCATCAGGCGTTATGAATGTGTAGATTGTTTTTCTAACCTCTAATTCGGGCAGAAAAAAAAGGTTGGCATCATCGCCCATGCATATGTATGAGATCCTCATCTGAAAGCATTTTTAACAGGTAAAAATGAGTTTGTCTTAATCGATTCCCATCACGTCAGCTCTCGTCTTTCACCGGCAGGCTTTTACACATCCTTGCTCAAGCTTCCTTTGTTAACATCTCTTAAAAGATTGTCTTTTTTGTTTTTTCCGATAGGTCACAAACTAGAAATGTATTTAATCAGTTCAGCAAAAAGTGTTGACACACTGCTCATGTTCTCGTCTGAACACTCTCAAGCCATTAACATGTAAAGTTTCATGTCTCCTCACTTATGGAGGTGTCAAATTTGTATTTACTGTTATTTTTCAGTTCGCCCAAAGGCCGTAATTTTGTTTACCCTTCATGGTCAGCTCACCGGTGTTAGTCTCATACTTGAACTGCCTCCAGACTTGAATGGGCACCTTAACAAGAAATGGTTACAATTTAGAGAAAATCTTGTGAATTGAAATGATAATACGGAAAACTAAAGAATGCTTAAAAAAATAAAATAAAATAATAAATCTGACTTTTCCACAAACTTCAAGTACACTGGAAAGTCTAATATCAAACAACCCATTTTGGAATGTTCGAAACAATGTTTCACATAAAACCAAAATTTATATGAACAACAAAGCTTTGATAAGAAGTAATGTCCCAGATAATGCCATTACTTGAATTCACATAACGTCCTGTGTCGTCTTCTTACAGTTGTCTTCTTTTGATACTCTTCTAGAGGCTGATCCTTCCATTCCCACAAGTGTTGAGGTACGCCGACATCAAGTCACAGTCAAAGGTTTTGTGTGTGTACGCGCTACTGTCGTGTAGCCCAAAATAGCCATTAAGAGTACTGATCAGTACTTCTTGTGACTTTAAAAGTTGTACATATTCAGAATTTTAAAATCCACTGCAAATTGTTGACAATTGAAGAAATGGATAGAGGGCTGCTGGATTATGAAAAAAATATCAATCGCCATTATTTTGTTAGTACTTGAAATCACAATTATTTATTCACGTCTTTTTTTTTTGGTCCAAAACAAGAAAACATTTAAACAACAACAAAAAAGACTAATCAAATTCTTCAAAACTCGATAAATATGCAAGTTCCTTTTAGATCAAACAAAATTCATAACATTAGTTATTTCAAAATATATAAATGGTGCATCCTAAAAATGAATCCTGCCGAGAAAAGAACACTGTCTCCACTGTGAAATATGGAGGAGGCTCTGTTATGTTCTGGGGCTGCTTTGCTTCCTCTGGCACAGGGTGTCTTGAATCTGTGCAGGTTACAATGAAATATGAAGACTATTGAGGTATTCTTAGAGAGAGATGTGCTGCCCGGTGTCAAAAAGCTTTGCCTCAGTTGCAGTTCATGGGTCTTGAAACAGGATCATGACCCCAAATACACCCAAGACTGGCTCAGAGCAAACCATTGGACAATTCTCAAGTGGCCTTTTGTGAGCCCTGATCTAAATCCGCCGGAAGGAGCCGAAACATGCCATCTGGAGAAAACACCCCTCAAACGTTAGACAACGTATAGCAGTTTGCTCATGAAGAGTCATGGGCAAAAATATCTGCTGAGGGCTGCAGAAGGATCATTGACCATTGCAAAAAATTGGGGTTGCCGTAATTGCCTCAAAAGGTTGTGCAACAAAATACTTACCAGCGTTTTTGTCCAGGACTATTCCACAAGGTTTTTTTTTTCTTTAAATAATTCTTTTTGAATCACAATTTAAAAGCATTTTTTTCCATTGGGTCATTTTCATAGATTTGGTATTAGTATTACACAGAAAATATTACACAATAATATTGCAAAAAGTATGTTGCAATAAAACTTCTCTAACAAGTATAACTTATCCCCAAATTAATGAATTGTGATGACGTCAACGTAGCTCATCACGCCCCACCAGTTGTTGCCAAAAAGACGAAAAAGCAGAGCATAAGTGCCGAGTAAATCCGTTGATGCGCACTGACTTCGCCCCGAGCGTGATGTCACGTGGCACATGTTTTTGACTTGCACGGATTTTTTTTTCAGAGTAAACTTTTTATTTTAACCGAACTGTTGCACTGACTGCTTTGTACCTGTGACATCAAGAAGTCTAGTCTCGATGACCTTTCGGATGTGTGACAATTTAACGTGTTCACACACACACGTCTCGTCAACGTTAGCACCATGGGGTTGCTAAACCATTCTGATTGGCGTACATGGAAGACCTGAAGGTTCACTCCACTCCTGCGCTTCATATTTTCTCTCTATGTTCATCCTATTAGAGGATTCTGACCCTCCCCCTTCATCCCCACTTTCGAGCTTGCGGCTTTGACACCCACCCACCCCTCCCTCCCCATCGCTCTCACACACGTGCATGCGCCCTCTCTTGCGTGGTCTCACACAAACACACACATCCGTGCACTCGTTGCACTCTTATTCCCGCCCTCTACCTCCCTTGTCTCTCTCACACACACACACACACACACACACACATACATGCAAGTGGCTGACAGACTGGTGTGTGCAGACGTGAAGCTGTGAGAACGTGAGGGGGGGAAAAGAGGGACACGGAGGGACGACGGCGAGAGAGTGAAAAAAGGAGGAGGGGAGAAGACTTGTGATGCAAAGAGGCGCGTGGCGACGAAATGCAACACGGAGGGTAAACGATTTTGTGTGCGCGGTGTGTGTCGCCTCCCAAGTTTTGAATATTCTGTGCATGGAATAGCTCGTTGGGGTTCAAGCGAGCATGATGTCTTGTGTCATTTGCTTCGTTGCAGCATCGTGGCGGCAGCCCTGCAGAGACAAAAGGTTTGCAGTGGTGCGTGGATGTTCGTCAGGTAGGCAAGACGCACAAACAGCACAACACCGCAAATGCAATCAATATTCCCTTCTGTGAGCTACCTGCCACTGGGCTCGCCATCTGGCGTAGAGCAGCAGGGGAGAGGCGGCTGCTCGAAAGGAACACACTCGCAACCCCGCATGGAAAAGTACGATTGGAAGGTAATTCTTTTTAAAAGTCGCTCCTGGTTTATGGCGTTGGTGTCCTTAAGCGTCGCATCCCTTTTTGAAATGACTCATTTGTAAATGCGATTGTCAACGGCGCTCGGCTGCAACCCCTGTCACATTTTGAAAGCCGCTTTCGAATGTGACAGGTGAATGAATCAAATGAGCTGCTGTCGACGAATTGAAACGCCGGCCCCGCAATTGTTGTAAAACATATACGGCCATGAACCTAATAGACAAATATTACGTGATGTCGCACGTTCATCCTTGTTGTGGCGTTAGTGAATGTGAATGAAGTCTCTGATGCGGTCGTCTTCCCTTTCAGGTGTGACACAGCTGCCTCGATTGTGCCCTCTAATGTGAACGAAGACGCGAAAGGATCACAGGTTGGTTACCTTCAGGCCCGCAAAGACCACCTGGGTATACACATGAACATGAGCACCCATTCATTGTCAAAGAGTTTCATGCTATGACATCATACCTAGACCAATTAGATGTTTATGTGCCTTTTAACACACGAGTCGCCCCGTTTTCTGCTTCGAGCAGACCGCCCGTCTCTCGTTTTTAATTGAACTGGCTCCGACTCATCGCATGTTTGAGACAATTTAAATGGTATATCCTTCATCTTAAGTGTGGTTTTAATTTTCCTAACAGGCAGCTGTGGAGCGATTGATGCACTCGTGTTTTTCTGAAAGGTAAGTGTGATATCGTGCGCTTTTTCTGTTACCGTTTTTTTTAGCACATTTCACCTCACTGCCGGTCTGTTAGACGCCGCAATACGTCAAGAAATAAAAAAAATGATTCTGCTTTGATTGCATCTGCTCCTAATGTTTACGTACCCACTGTGATTTGTATTAGTTGTCCATCAAATGGCCCCCCCGTGCCAAGCCAAATGGATATGACATGAAGACGGACGTGACCCAGCGGAGATTGTGGGCCGCAGGAGACGGATCGGTCGGTGCCGCAGAATCCAAAATGTGAGATGAGGTCACGTCTTTGTCTTGGCACTGCGACCACTGTTGGTCTTCTCGGTGGGAGAGGCGGCGGGGGGGGGGTCCCTTTTTCTTTCCTGTCGCTGCCATCGAACCCGCAGTGGCGTGATTTCATTTCCCAGTATGCCCCTCTGTCCCTGAGACCCTTAACCTGTGAGGTCAAAGCAGGTCACAGGTGAGGTCCTCGGGAACAGGGCTGCATTCAGTTTCAACGGTCCTTTCAAAGCTGCAGTCTTGTTTTAGATGTAACATGTTCTATAGCCTGTCGTATGAAGCATGCATTGGTCAGATTGAGCAAAATGTGATATTTGAAGCACCTGCAATTAAGTGCTATAAACTATAACCTTGATAATCACAATGTAGTGAACGTCTGAAACTGAGCTCAAATCAAGGGTGGGGAAACTTTTTCGTATCAGGGGTCTCAAGTTTTTCTAAAGCCCTCCAAAGGAAAAAATAGGATCCAACAATCAATTCGAATATGTTGGATGTAATGAGCATTTGTGAATACATTTTGGGGGGTCTATTGATTTTCGAGTCCTTTTTGAGGAATTTTTTTTTTTTTTTTTTTTTTTGCATGTGGCAGTCTCAGATGGCTTCGCAGGCTGTAAATGGCCCGATTAGTTTTCTCATGCCCCCCACATACCCAGGTGCATCTCACCACGTTTCCAACGAAGCATCCCATCGGGTCTCCGCCATGTGTCCAACTTACACTTTTTTGGAGTTTGCAGCGGTCAAGGTTTGATCACAGGTTGAGGCCAAACAAGGATGCTGCAAGGTTCTCGACTGCAGCAGACAGCCCCTCTCAGGGGGGCGACTCTGTTGGCTGGTTTTGTGACATACACCCTAAACGGGGCCAAGGAAGCCAGTCAAGAGTTGCGACCCCGTCAGTTTTGCCACCATCGAGCTCTTTTATCCATTTGTACGTTTTGCTGCTCTGCTATAAATAAAATATAACACGCAAGTTGTGACTCAATGATGCAGACTCTTGATTATTGCTCTCTTATTTTAAATGGCACCAAGCTCGCTAAATGTGTTTGTTGAGGTCATTTTTGTTTGACCAGCAAAAGCTGATCCGTTTCAGGGTGGGGAAATCATTCCCTCAAAGTAGTGCCATCCTGTCAGCCGCAGGATGAAAAATGCCCCTTGCAAATAAACACTAACCTTTTACCACCGGGGGAAAATAAAAGTGAAGTAATTGCCGCAGTACAACATTCACAAATAGACATTCAGAAGTGAACCGCTGAGCCTGTTGTGAATTCAGCTGCTAACCCAAATGGAAGTTGGGATGTCCCAGATGTGATAAACGGCGTCTGTATTGATTATTTTTCCAGCAGACCCGTAATCACTCCACAATGTTGTATGCATCCACATTGATGTTACTGTGAGTTGCATTGCTGAACAAATTTATTGGACCACCTCAAAATGCAAGGTTTATCTCTCTGATGCTGTAAATTAACCGCACTAGTAATTACCCAAATCATTTTTTATCTGCAATGGTTATTGCACCAGTTTGCAGAAAATCTTTAAGCGACATATTTTTAATGCTAAACTATAATTGTCCACGATTTTTCAAGTCTTATTTCCTTTCAGAAAAGGTAGTGAAGCGTATATATACTTTTTTTTCATTAAGATGCTCTTAACTTGCATCCCTGAATAGAATTAGTTTTCTAATGCTGCAGACTTTATATCCTGATAATTTTTTTGTTTGAGCCATTTATTTTTCTCATTTTACGACTTGCGGTCTCATAAAAATGTTCAGTTTCTCTGGATCGTGATGTTTTGCTGCATTTCTCCAGAACAAACTTCAATTTTCTCTCTTAAACTGCAGCTTCACTTTGTATATTATAATTCACTGGTAACCTTTAATAATTTAAAAACTGTTTGTTCCAATACACGCCTTCCACCACCTGCAGTTGAGTAAATAAACAACACTTGTGTAGAAATACGGTAGCTTGTTTTTAAAATGTGTGAATGAGTATGTTTTTATGTGTGGTAGGACATAAGATTGAGGCAAAGTGCCCTTGGCAGCACGCATCAGAGCCACATTGAACTCTCTCACCCTCCCTCGCGCTTTCTCTCACTGTCTCACACACACACACACACACACTTGGGATTTTCCCTATGCGCTTGCAAAGTTTGGCAGTCCAGCAGCAGACTTTTTGTCTAAAATTGATTGGCTTGTCTGCAGCGAGACAGATGAACGCATTAGTAGCCCGCATACCCTGCCACTGGAAATATATTAAGTTGGTGTATTAGGCACCCTGTCTGGTTGCCATGGTGATGTAGCCATAGTGCAGAGGGAGGATGGTAGACAAGTGGGGGATACAGGATGTGATGAGGCGGTCGGCATGATTTGTAGTCCCGCCTGCTTGCTCGCTCTCCCCCTTTTGTCACTTGTGGCCTCACTCACCTCTTCCTCTTCCCTCCCTGTTGTCCCTTTCACTGTCTTTACACCTCCATTGCCTCATTTGCTCACCACCACCAAGAATGTGCTTGACTTCCTTTGTTCCTCCTGGACTACCGGTTAGACTTCGGGGCTTTATTTCTCTTGAGGCGTTCTAACCGACATGCTTCCTACCTCATCCCCCACCCTCCCGATATATACATCAGTGTTAACCCCCCCCCCAAACGGCGGACGACCCACCCCACCCCAACCCATCATTTGCTCGCTCCATCTCTCTCTGCTCTGCAGTAAAACTGGTGCATTGAGGTAGACCGGAGAAGACGAAAGACGTGAGTGTGTCGGGAATGTACCTTTTGTAATTACACATATGGAGCTACACCAGTCACTTCATTAAGCAACTACATGTGCCAATTTTTTAAAAATGTCTTCACCGATGTTTAAAATACGCCACACTTGACAAAGAAAAAAAATGCAGCAGGTGGGCGTCATGCTCTTGAGATGACCAATACAGTGCACCTCGCTCACAGTGACCGTCTGTACAATACACACCTGTGAGAGGCAGCACGGTGCCACATAACTTCCATACTTGGAAGAAAAAGCCTGTTGATCTTATCTGGTCACCACATTGCATTTGCAAACGTTTCTCCATTTCTATTGTGTTGTGTGACACATACAAACGCTCAACACACCCAGCTGCTCTGCTGTCTGTCGATGCTGTCTATGGCAACACTGCAGGTCACTTTGAAGAACTTCCTACAATGGAAGCACCGTTGACAACACACAAATCATTTTGGTTCGTAAATAATGAGCAAGTTGACCATTGTCAGCCTAGAAAAAAAAAATCACACACCATAGGATAATCGGTCAGGATTATCTTTTGGAGACAGCCAACGGTCGGGCTTTTGCTGATGTTGATTGTGAGAGGACAGAAGGTCAAATTAGGCCCAATTGTCGTTATGTGTACCAAGCAGTGTGCAGTGACACATTCGTGTGACATGGGAGATTATGTGCTGCGAGAATTTCGCCAATTTCTCTTAATTGGTTTCAGAATCTGCCTGCACCTTAAATCAAATCCATCGAAATTGCATTAATCACCTGCGCCGCAACTTAGACCTGATTTCAGCTGCTCGAAAGTTTACTTTCAGCCACCAAATTGTCAGGTGCGCCAGAGGCATGTAAAAGGAAGTTGTTCGTGTTTGCACGTCGTATTTGTACTAGCAATCGGTGTAATTATTGAAAACAATGAATTAAATGAAAATTTTACATATAAAGCGTTGTAATTAAAAAGAATCTATTCTTTCTAGTTGCCCTTTGACACAAAAGTTTGACCACACAATTTAAATATAAATAAATTGTAACATTAAATGTTGTGGACAGCACCAACTATCTCCACAAAATTATCACTATATTTCTTATTCTGAACCATTTTCAATTATTAATAAAAACTGAACCATGAAGTGGAGAAAGGTGAGTTTGGAAGTTTTCTTGTATGTATAACGAATTACACGAAGTCATTCACGACGATGTGGACATTACCTTCAAAGTAACATATTTCAAAGAAACACAATATGGCATCGTAAAACTTTTGTCATATGACATCCATGATGACGATAAGTACTCGTTTTTTTACATTTTCACTGAGGCTTTGATATGATCATACAAACGTGCAAACCAATCAGTATGTCACGAAATGCAGAAACATCAGTCGTATACCGGGTACATTGTCTGAAAAAAGGAATACAAACAAAAGTCAACAAGGTGCAAAGAGCATAAGGCACAGTGGAGTCCTTTTGATTCAAACTATTGAAGATAAATCACGAACGTGTTGCAGCATACAAACAATTTTACTAATTTTCAAAGTATTTGTGTACAGATCAAATTCTTCAAGAACACACAAGTGACATAAAATACATCGCAAAGAAAACGACGACATGAGAAGTCATACTCCAACCTTATGACGTCACGGTGACGCCTCAATGGGTTTTGCGTAAGTGCTCGTTTTTGTTGAATTTGACCATTTCTTATGCACAATAATATAATTTTAAAATGTGCACATTTGCCTTGTGCTTTTTACTCTTGTGTGTGTTGTGTGGCCTTGTCAGGCCGTCTGTGGGCTGCTTTCGCTGCTTCGTGAGTCTGAAGGAAACTTCTGAACTGTGTTCCGGCTACAAAATGACAACGTTCCATTTGATCAACGTGGACAGATGCTTCGAAACCCTTGACAGTATCTTCAACGACAACCCCAAAGTGATCGAGGCCGGCAGAGTCGGTATGGATTCCTTTGGGAACGCTTGTACTATCTCTTGCAGTTGTCAAAAAAAAAAAAAATCCACTCCGGGGGCAAAACGAAGGCTAAAAGGGCTACTTGACATTCTTCAAATTTCATTTATTAAATGCGTTTAAAAAAATTCCGCCGTGTCCCGTAAGAGATCATCTCCAAGTCAGTTATTTTGACAAAACAATATATATTTTCTTCGAAAAGAAATGTTTTCTTTTCATTTCTGCCAATCACCTGTAGCAACGAGTAGAACAACTGCGTGATCTTGCACTAGAATCCAGAAGGTACATAATTAGCCCGCATATCCACTTTTGTGAATCGATATATTTCGTAAGAGTGTGAGAAAGACAGCCAGAATGAGCTAGCAATAGCATTGGCATGATAGCATCAAAATATGAATACTGGGGCGGAGGTTAAAAAAATGAATTCCAGCTTTTATTTAACAATATTTAGACCTAGGTGGGTGAAACAACTCAGGATAGAACATCTTTAGATTGAAGCGTTCCACTTTTTAAGTGAGCAAAAGTATTGGAACAGACACAAGCTGAAAATGAATATTATTTGGTCGCCTAACCATTCCTTGCAATAACTGCAACCCATTGACCTCATCACACTGTTGCATCCTTCGTTTGAAATGTTTTTGTTGGCCTTTACTCGAGCCTCTTTCAGTTCTTGTTTGTTTCTGGGGGTTTCTCCCTTCAGTCTCCACTTCAAGAGGTGAAATGCATGCTCTTTTAGGTTAAGGTCCGGTCATTGACTCGGCCAGTCTAACACCTTACACCGCCCTTCCACCCCCCAACGAAATCCTTTATTGTGTTGGCAGTGTGTTTTGCATCCAGTTGCATCATGAAGCTTTTCCCGATTAGTTTGGATGCAGACAAATTGTTTTTGTAGGGATACTTCCACCATGCTTCACACATGAGCTTGTGTGTTTGGGCTCATAAGCAGATCCTTTCCTTCTCCATACTTCAGCCTTTGCATCACTTTAGTAGAGGTTACGCTCATCAGGTCTCATCAATCCATAAAACTATTTTTCAAAACACGTTTGTGGCTCATCTCTGCACTTATTTGCAAAATCCAATATCGACTAATACTTTTAGAGGGAACTGTATTTGCTAAGGATTTCCACAAACCTTTGGGAAAAAAAATAAAGTCACTTGGTCTTTGTGTATGTTAACAGGGAAAGCCTACGAGGCACAGCTGCAGAACATCATGAAGTCGCAGATTCTTCCCCTGGTGGATGAGTTTCGTCAAACAACCAATTACGGTAGCTCGACTCTTGACAGATATGCAGTATTGCTCCTAAATAAAAATTTTAACATTGCTCCAAAAGGACATTTGAACACAGCTCCACAATAACATTGAACCTTGCTGCTTCATCATATTCGAACAAGGCTCCTTAGAAGCATTGTAGCAGCACTCCTGAATGGCATTTTACATTTCGCACTATAAGGCACTTTGGAGTATAAGGTGTACCGTCAATGAATGGCCTATTTTAAAACTTCTCATATGTAGGGCGCACCGCATTATAAAACGCATAGAATACAGCTACAATAGGGGCTGCGGTTGTCTTATGTATCCACTAGATGGAGCTACGTTAAAGGGAATACAATACAGCTTTATTTATATAGAGCTTTCCCAACCGCTGCAGCTGTAACAAAGTGCTTTACAGAACATTAAAAATATTACGTCCAAAAATTCAAGAATATTGATCCATATATAAGGTGCATCGAATTTGGCTTTTGAGAAATGTGTGCTTTTAGGTGTGCCTTATAGTGCGGAAAATACAGTAATTGATTTGACATTACTCTAAAATGGCACTTAAAACATTGCTCCGAAAAGACACTTGAGGGCATCTCATTACACTTTAACATCACTCTACTCCAAATTGACATTATAGCCTTACTTTAAATTGACATTTTATCATCCTATGAAATTACTTTTGAAAATTGCTCCTAATTTGTGCATTTTTTTTTGTCATCGGACTGAATTACTTTATAGTATTGCTCTAAAATGAGTTTTTTAGCCTTATTTCTAAATGACATTTGATCAGTACTCCTAAATGACGCTTTAACCTGGATTCAAACGACATTTTTTGACAGCACTCGTTGGCATTTTTGTCATCAAATGAATGTACGGCCTTGTTCATAAATGACTTTTGAACATTACGCCGAAATGACATTCTCGGCATCTTGAATTGTCACGTTAGCTCTAAAATTAGGATGTTCGAGTTTCAAAATGATGCCTCGCAGCTTGAAATGTTGAGTGAAAAATGTATGTGTGTGTCTTCCTCCTCTTTCTCCTGTCCTATCAGACACCGTGTATGAGAGCAAGCTCCAGACAGCAGCCGACAATTTCATCGCTGAAGCCTCCAAACTGCCTCGAGGTGAGACGTGGTCTCCTCCCCTTCCCTTCATCTTTTCATCCATAGTGAAGCCCGTGTTGAGTCATTATAGCTCCCTCTGATCTCTGCGCTCTCACTGTAATAGGCCAGTTATGTTATCACGGCTTTTCACACAGCGTGGAGAAGACAAGAAGCTGTCAGGTCGAGCAACAACATCAAATATGTCCAGCTGTAATCACAGAAACTCTTTTTTTTTTTTTTTTCAGCCACTGGATGCATCCCCCCGTGCGGTTAGTGCTTTACGTCCTCTTTAAACCTTCACTTTGCACAAGGCCTTGACAACATTTAGAATGGAATATTTCAACACATCCAACCAGGCTTTCAGACTGCAGACGGCCATTACGACTGTGTCAAATGCAAAAAAGATTCCTGCAATTTTCCTCTTGACTGCCCAGGTGAGAAAGAAAAAAAAATATTGCAATCCGCACTTGACACATCCTTACATAAGTTTGATTTCACCCTCCCAAGCATCCTTGTTCCTGGAAACTCTGTGCTTTTGATCCTTGAAATGCTCTTAGTATCAAGTCGGGATTTGGAGAAAGCGACTGGAGGCGAGGTTTTATTTCCACACATTATATCGTTTGCACAAGGTTTCACTTTAAGCCCTTGGCTTTTTTATGCAAGGTGACAGTCGACTCCCACACACTATGGTGTCATGTCATCCCCATACAGCACGCCTAATGCTCAGTTCCACTTTTCTCCTCAGAGACTCGGCTTAAGTGGAATCATTAAGGAGCGTTCGGTCTGCAAAAGGTGACCCGGGGGAATGTTATATACAGCCCGTGTGTCCTTTTGTGTGTATTTTTCAGTTGAAAACAGAACAGTGGAAGAGAACAATCCAGTCCAAATGTTGTGCGATGTGTCATTTCAATTACCCCAAAATACCAAGATCATGAAGATTTGGAAGTTTGCAGAGCAAGTAAGTTTATCTCTGCTGTGACATTTCTCAGACTTACTGCACTTGACTAGTCGGAAAACCAGCTCGGGTCAGTATACATATGCCCGTTGCCCCACTACAGGACATATATGATGTAACTTTGTGCATATTATTAATGAGACAATTAAATCGCCACGCTACTCGGCAGCCCAGTCTTCATCGGTGTTCTGAGATCAAATCCTGGCCCGGGCCTTCCTGTTTGGAGTTTGCATGTTCTTCCAATGGTGTGGGTTTTCTCTGGGTCGCCCATCTTCCTCACATATTTCAAAAACCATGCATATTGCATTCATTGGAGTCTCTTAACTCAATCACTCCCAAAGACGTTTTTAAACGTCTCTTCGGACTTGGTCCAGAATTGGCTGGTACTGAATGAGTTAATTGTTTGTAGTTGTGAATATATTTTTAATTCGAATTTGCAGAGTAGTGAAAAACTGTTGTCAAATGAAAGAATGGTGTTTGTTAGGTAAAAACTCGGCAGGTGGAGTTGTTTGAAGAAGTGACGGTAGGGGAGGACAACCTCTACTCCATCTCATCTACCAGGACGCACCACCAGGGCACCTACCAGTGTGAGATCTATTCAGATGAGATATCCATTGCCAGAATTTACTACTATCTCACAGGTATGAGAAATGACATGAAAAACTGTACAATCCTTTGTTGAAAATAAACGTCCTTCCTGTCACTGGCTTCCTATTTGTACAGTGGGCTGGCCCGCCCCGTGAATATGCGTGTATAATTGGCGTCCATTGAAAATGTATTGAGGGGGGAAAAAAATTCCAATCAAGTATTAGGAGACAGGCGGGCCAGTGGTGAGCACGTCGACCTCACAATGCAGAGGTACCGGGTTCAATTCCAGCTTCGGCCTCCCTGTGTGGAGTTTGCATGTTTTCCCCACACGTGGGTTTTCTCCGGGTACTCCGGTTTCCTCTCACATTCCAAAAACATGCATGGCAGGCTGATTGAACACTCCAAATTGTCCCTAGGTGTGAGCGTGAGCATGGATGGTTGTTCGTCTCTGTGTGCCCTGCGATTGGGTGGCAACCAGTTCAGGGTGTCCCCTGCCTACTGCCCGAAGACGGCTGCGATGGGCTCCAGCACCCCCCGTGACCCTTGTGAGGATAAATGGATCGAAAAATGGATGGAAGGTTATTAGCAGACACCAATGCTATTAGCTAACAGAAGAGTTATAATAGTTCTGCATTTTTTTATGATCGTATTTCATTTTCACTTTTTTAGCGCGAGTAGTGTTTGTTACATTTTATTTCTTTTTTTTGTTTGTTTTAGTGTTAGTTTTAGAGTTTTTTTATATCTAGCATTTGTCATTTCTGCATAAGAGTACCTCATCATTATCGTCTTTCAGACAGTTGTAGTTTGACTGTCACTTGAAAGTGGCTCTGGATCTTGGGCCAACCTAGCTGATCATGTCATGAGTGGAGAAACTCGGAGTCGAGGCGGTTGTTATGCAAATTATCCCTACTGTTGCGCAACACTCAGACATAAGCAGCCACAAATGGCGTATTTGCGTGTTTAATTTCATACTTTCACATCAACTATTTGTATACAAGCCATTAAAAACAAAAAATTCCCTGAAACAACAAAAAACATTGTGTGTTCAGTAAGTGTTGAACCAGTTAGTCGATGACGTTTAAAACTTGGAAGTCGACTAAAACATGGTCATCTTGTCTCCCTATTGGCCAGTTAACTGAGGACTTTGAACTCTGCTCGATTGTAATGCTCAACAGAGCAGCAAAAATAAGATGGTTGCGGATAAGGATTGTGGTTAGCATTACTAACTTCAGCTACTTCTTCTTCTTCTTTTCCTTTTGGCTTTTCCCCTCAGAGGTCGCCACAGCAAATCAGTTGCCTCCATCTAACCCTCAACTTCAGCTCCAACTATGTTATTGAGAACTTCTTACATCATACAACACCAACATCACCAACAACACTTGTATCGCTTTCACGGCACTGTGCCATAGCACTTGCACAACATACGGCGGGTACAATGCTACACGCGTCTGGATGTAGTTTTGCACAGTACGGTGTTATGTAATACCGGCAGTGGCACAAAGATAGTTTGGGACTGCTTTACTGTGTTGACATTTTATTTTGAATTTTTGTCATCGATTAATCAACTTACATTAGACTGTCATCATCTTCTTGTCGACTATTTTAAAAATCTGTTGTCATTCAACTGCCACACTACAGTTAACAGGTTGTTTGTGTTTATTACTAGTAAAAGCCAATTGGCGTGCGTCAAAAAGTGGTTGTAAGCAGCAAGTACAGCAGTAGTCACTGGTAAACCTACATGTATAAATTCCTATTCTTTTCGACTAGCCTGCAGTGTTCCCAAAAATCCTTTTATACACATGACTAACACTTCATGTCTCTGTGTACTACATTTGACTGTTTCCATTCCCCAAGTGACCCCCCACGTCGTGACGGGCCATTCCGAGCTGCAGGAGATATTTGAGCTGTCTCTGCTCCCTGGAGGGAGGTTACACGCTGAGTCGCCTCGCCCCTCTCAGTACCTCCCATCACGCGTGCTCATCGCCATCTGCTTTACATCTTTGCTGCTCCTCCTCATCCTCTCCTTGGGGTGAGATGAGGTTATTATTTGCATACTATTGCAAATGAACAGCCAGTAATTGTATGTATGTATGTATGTATGTTTGTTTGTGTTGTGTTCGTGTGTGTGTGTGTGTGTGTGTGTGTGTGTGTGTGTGTGTGTGTGTGTGTGTGTCTATATAAAATCTCTGCATGCACTTCTCAATTGAATGTATTTGTTGAGCTGCCTTTTCCTAAATCCTTACTATGGGTATTTCCAGGACTATCTTTTTGGAGAACGCAAGTGGTACTGAACGGACCAGACGAAATCAAGACTTGTGATCCTGAAAGATACATAGAATAAAGCCTTTCCGCCCTGTTCTTTGAAGAAAAAAAAGGCAATGTTTCATTCTTCTCACCACCAGAGGGCGAAAGAGTCTATCTTTAGGAACAGCGTCGACTTGAGTGGGTGGTTCATAATAATAATATATCAATAATATTGATGAAAATAATATATAACATCAACTATTATGAATAATAATAATATCGGGATAATAAAGGAATTGAATATTATATATTTTTTCATCCAGTGATCAGGCTGCGGTGGCAGCAGCAAAAGCAGGAAAGCCCAGACTTCCCCTCTCCCCAGCCTCTTCATCCAGCTCTTCCGTGGGAATCCCGAAGCATTTCTAGGCCAGCCTCATTTACAAATAGTGGGTGATAAATTGCGTGTTCACCCACTTTGATGACAGCGCTATTGGCAACAGGTATAAAGGTGCTGGAAACTGCCATATTGAAAATTATTTTTGTTGGCATTTTTTTCCACACATTTTATATTTTGACATTTTCCCTTTTTTACGGTATCAAATCAGCAATAGAAAATGAGTTGGGTTACTCTTAAAAAAAAAAAAACAATCGTGATGTACAATTGATGGACTGCACTTAAGTCCAATTACAAATCACCACTTTTTGATTGGGTGTGGTACATTCCTCTCGCTCATGCCCATCCGGGTTTCACTTTGCCCACATGAGCATTGGATTGTGATCATTACATCCAGTTCTCAAATCTCAACTGCTCTTGAAAGTACCTGCTCGCTGTCTGTTGCGCAGTACACCAGTAGTTTTTCTTTTTCAGGACATTCCAAATTGTTGTCTGGTCAATGCCCTTTTTTTGTGCTGTAGGGCTGATTTATTTGAGCTCTCAGCGTCAAAATGCTTTTCTTTTCTCCCATAGACAGCTCTCTGGTCATCATGTTTGTTGAACAGCAAACAGGCAAACGACATCAACAAGCACTTTCTCGTATTTAAGCAATCAGTCTAAAAGTCTACACCTGAGCAATTAGAAACACCCATCCGTCACGTTTTTCAATACTTTTGCTCCCTTGTTTCTCACCTGTCAGCTTTTGAATGTGAGTCATAACATAATCAGGAAACAAAAAACAACACCTGTGGTTCAAGATATGAACATAAGGTAAGCGGACAGACTAACGGGGGAAAGAAGACCGCAATTCCAAATCGCCAACAACAGTATCAATTCTACCAAAGGAACGGATGAACACGGAAAAGACTAGATTGGGCTCAGCCGAACGTCTTTAACTCTCAACCGGTGAGGCAGCGCACGTGTCCCGGTTGCTGGACACAATGCCCCACCCAGACTACAACCAGCATTGCTCCAGTAAGTTTCAACAACTGTACATTTCAAGGGAAGATTCCACTTTCTCCTCTCGGGGACATAACAATTACTTATTACCTCCAATTACAAGATAAATGATAATAAATATATTTACTGTTTATGGTGTAATTAAACACGCTATTGGTCTTGAAAAAATATATATTTTTTTCAATCTTTTTGAGGGGGGGGGGGGGGATTCACCATTATTGACTTATATATACTCTGCAATTTGTCAGCTTTTCCAAAACACCTATCTGCTCTTTTAAAAAGACACAAGTAAATCTCACCTGCGATATGAGTCATTCAACTTTTAGGCTCGTCAGAGTCCAGCACATTCTATTTAGTGCAGTTAGAGTGTGAATATATTTTTCTTTCTCTGATTTTATTAATTTGATTCACACCCGTATGAAGTTTCGTTTGCTGTTTATTTCTGAGACATTCTGGAACGTGTCCTTCGAGCCTTGTAGTTACACATTTGGCCACGGGGAGACGGTGCCACGCGAAAAATAACCATCCTACACGCCCCTGTGAAGGGGTAGGGGAGGTCTTGGGCACGAACTGACATTGGAACTTCGTCGTTATTGTTGTCTCGTTCAGGCTTTCTTGTGTATTTGGATGAATTTCAGAAGAAGAAAGTGGAGTACTTGCTGAACACGTCAAGGGCAAAACGGCACACAGGATGTTGAATATTTGATGACATTCATCACTAGGGCATAAAGTCTTTGTGATGACAACCTCACCCCCAAACACTTGACGTGTCAGAAGGCCTTTGTGGTCAAATGAAGAGTGGGTGAAAGGAATTTCAAAGTTACGTAACATTCACATATATATTGTCTGCAGTTGTGTATTCTGTTGGTATGGAATTTTTCCATTTCAAAGGAACAATGTCCAATACGTGGATTTAAATTAGTAAGGTAATAATTAAACACTAGATACGGAGATTCTATATCAATGAAATGAGTGCTATTCATCACCGCATATTGTAGCAATCCCCAGCCAGGTAAATGCGTCCCCGGCTGGCTCTGAGCAGTCGAGAGGTGTGATCTTCGTGTTTGCATCTGTCGTTGTGGAAAAACTGGCTTCATAAAGCGAGGATGTTGGAAATGGAAAGGTGGTATGGATTTTATGGCCATTATGGTTTTTCCTCCACATAGAGATTCACTGTAGAGAAAAGGCTTAATGTTAGAAAACGACAACCGATCACTACCAAAAATCATCTACAAATCTACCTATGCCCAGACCAATCTCTGAAAATATCAAAAACAATTACTTCAATATTTTGGATTTTATGGATATTAAGTGTTTTTCTCATTAAGCGACATTATGTTTGAGTGTGGACCTCTGGAGAGGAAGACGGTAACGTCCATAAATTCCCAAATATTGGTGCAATCATTTTGATGTTTTCGGACGTTGATGTGGGCATACGTAGAGATGTACACATGAATTTTGGTGGCAATTGGTCATGGTTTTCTAGCATAAAGCTCGGTTAAGGTTTTTAATGGAGAGGAAAATGCTTAACGCTGCTAAAATCCTAAATGTCAGGGCGATTGATTTGATATTTTCAGAGATTGATGTGGAAATGGGTGGAGATTAGTCATAGTTTTATAACATTAAGCCATGTTAGGCGTTTTCTCGATAGTGAAATTCGATGGGGAGGCAAAACCTTCATACCTGTAAAATCCAAAATACTGTGGTTATTGCTTTCATATTTTAAGAGGTTGAAATGGGCAAAAGTAGAAATGTGCATGTGGTGAATGGTAGCTGGGAATGTAAAAGAAAATGGTTGGTTGTATGTGTTCTGCCGCTGGCTGGCGACCAATCCAGAATGTATTTCGCCTCCCAAATGAGCATACGTCCACACCAGAGGAAAAGAGATTTGATAAGTGGCAATACGCCATGGATTTGATTCTGGGCTGCGGCCTTCTTGTGTGGAGTTAGTATGTTATGCCCTTGCCTGCGTGGGTTTTCTCTGGGTACTCCAGTTTCCTCACACATTACAAACACATGCAAAGTTGGTCAGATGTGATTGTGGATGTAAATGGTGGTTTGTCGACACGTACCCTGCGATTGGCTGGCAACCAGTGCAAGAATTTCGCCGCCTACTACCCGAAGACGGCTGGGATAGGTTGCTACACATCCGGGAGTCTTGTGAGGATAAACGACTCGGATATCTATTGCGGCCATTTTCAACACCGCTTAACAGGGTTGCGCAGGGGGTTAGAACCTATCCTAGCTGATGACAAGCGAAAGGCGGAGCACACCCTGAACTGGTCGCCAGTCAGTCGCAGGGCATACAGAGACGAACAACCATTCACACTCACATCCACACCGTCACTGAGTGGGAACCGATCCCACGCTGCCCACACACAAATCAGGCGAGTGTACCACGACACCATCAGCGTCTGCGGCTCGGATAATGGATGGATACTTGGCAATATATCAATGTAGATCGGAACATTAGTTAGCACATAACATTCAGTACATGAGCAGAGGTTGTATGGGATGACATCAGTGATGTAGTTCTTTTTAATTTGCCTTGCGTCATTGCTGCATCATCGCTGTTCTGTCCATGAATTTCAACTTTAATCTTTTCTCAGCATTCCACTTAGTTGTTCAATGTTTCACAATCATTTATTGGTTGCCAAAAAAAGCCCTCAAAGGCTCTAAATGGGTTGCACATTTTCATCTGTGAATGAGTCGGAAGCCGTTGTGCAAAGCTTGATGCTCGTACCAGTGGTCAAAACCGAAGGGTGTATTCTAGATGTCATCCACTACTGAGAAGGTGAGTCATGATATGTTGGGTACAAACATCATGATTGTCATACACGTCATCGCTTAAAATAATTTACATTTCTAAAAAAAAAAAAGAATGTGAATGCTTTCAGTATTTATAGAATCTATTTTTTTCTATTTTGCTGATAGTAAGGAAAGCTTGAAATAACTTTCTAATTTTGCAACATTCTAATTTTGCAGAACGATTTTTGCAGGTTGCTCTCAGTGACCAACACTAAAAATGTGACAATTTAATGAATAAATTATTGATTTTTTTTCCCATACAATCAATACAATACAACAGTGTTTACTTATATTCACATTGTGCATAGCATCAAAGTGTATTTTCTTGTCTTGAAACATCAGTGGGGTTATTTAAAACAAATGTAACTTTCAGTTTGAACTTCAATGGTCTGTTTAAAAAAAAAAAAAAAGTAATGTAATTTGGAGAACATTGATTTCGCAGCCCTCTAAAGTGAATCAAAATACAGAACTCTATTGTGAAAACAAAACAAAAAACACGTTGTTTATTTTCTTTTTAGAAAATGAACGATTAAGATCACTACTTGGCCTCCGTCTAGATTGATTTTAATGTGACGTTTACAAGCAGTGGGCGGCCTGGTGGTCCAGTGGTTAGCGCGTTGATTCCAATATAGATTCTATATTAGAATCTACATGATTCTAATACAGTATACAGTACTGAAGTTTATAGGCTGGCCATCCCGGCTGATGTATGCTGGAATGTAATTCATTTTTGGTTTATGGTTATATTGAGGGCTATTGAGTACAGGATACATTTTCTCTCCAGTGGCTGCTATTTTGCTGTTCAAAGTTGGGTCCCCTCCATTCGAACGTGGTTCCAGTTTGACTTCTGTGAAACGTCTGCTGGATAATCCAAGCACTTAATTTCAGTGTTAAATGATTACGTGTCAATCTTAGGTTAGCTTAGCAAT